AGCACAGTGTCTCAGTCAGCCTGACCATGTGTCCTAGGCTCTGACCCACCCCAAGCAGCCCCCACCACTTCATGCCCAGCCAGCTGGCAGCCAGACCCTTCCACAGCCATTCCTGAGGCTGCCCCACTGCTGCCAAGGGCAGAAAGGCAGTCCAGCCTACCCACTGCTTTCCGCTCGAACAAGGGGGAGCTGCCAAACATAAAGGCTGGGTGCTGGTCATGCTGTGCCACCCAAGTAACTTGTAACGGCCCTGTGGGAAGCAAAATCAGGGAGCCCTGCCCTCCATGAGCCCCCTTCTGCTCCTTCAGGGAAGGGTTGTGCAAGGTCTGGCCAGGGGAACCATGCTGTGTGGCAGGAAGTGAGATCTCAGGGTGTTTGTTTTGAACACACTGGGCTCATTCACTGTGTGATATCACACAGTGACTCTTCAAAGCAGCACTCTGGCTCCTTTAGGGCTCTTTGTTTTGAAAGCAAACAGCATCAGCAGCTCAGCAAGGAACTGTCTGCCAGCAGCACCCAGCTAGAGATAGGACAGGAGCCTCTGCACCAGCCTGGGATCTGCCCTGCTCCGGCATGGCATGAGCACTAACCCCAGGTCTGTGCTTACCTGACCAGGTTCTTGGTTTTGATCCGAGGCGCTTTGACTCCACCACCAATGATGCTGGAGCCTGTGATGTAAATCCCCCTGTGGCAGACAAGGGTGGTTGGTGGAGGGTCTGGCACTTGCAGAAGGATTCAATAGGGAAACCAGAATCTTCCAGCTGAGCAAAGAATCAGGCATGCAGCTGGGGGACACTGCAGACTTGGCCTGCCCACCCCCCAGGGTACAAGTGGTCCCAAGCTCCACCACCTACACCAGCAGAATTGCTGGGGCACAAAAGCCTCCACTGCACAGCCTGGGCTCAGGGGTACAGCTTCCAGAGAGCCAGGGACATCCCTGCCTCTCCACTGCCATTGCAGCCTGTGAGGTGGTCTGCCTAGACCCATCAGGAGCTCAGCAACCTGGCTCCACTGCTGTGGTGATCCACAGAGTGCCACATCCCTGCATGTACACACTGTTCTGTCTCTGCCCTGCCGTGGGGAAACTGCAGTGTATACACACAGCTACCAAGGTGGGACAGCAGGAGCCTGCTGAAGAGCCAGCCCCACTCACCAGGCAGCTCCCACCACGGACAGGGAGATTGCCAGGCCAATGCCCAGGTTGGACCACATGAAGGGTGAGGTCTCTGTCAGGAACCTGGAGAGGAAGAAGTGCCCCGAGTCAGTGTACAGGCTGAGCCTCGCTAGTCATGGTGCACAGCCCCAAAAAAGATACCCCTCCCCCCCGATCATGCAGCCCAAGATGGGTTGAGCACAGTCAGACAGTGGGCCACGAGGGCCTCTCTCTGCCAGCCAGCAACCCAGGACCCTCACCCGCATGGACTGAGATCTTCCTCCCAAACTGTCACTGTGAAGGGGAAGCCTGGGCTGGGAGAGGGGGTGGGAAGGGCAGTGATGGCTGCACCAGGACCCACTATGGAGCCAGCCACATGTACATGCAGGCTGCATCTATCCTGCCTCAGGGGGAGCAGAAGCCCCACTCACTGCAGCGCTTGTTTCCCTGCGATGCAGTGACCGCTGCCCATTGCTCACAAGCAAGTACTGTTTCCTGCAAGCACTGTTAACACCTTCTCACGCAGCCCTGAGGATGCTGATATTGACAGGGAACTCACCAGGCTACATCGAAGCGGAAGCCCAGGTCAAATATTGTATAGCAGATCCCTGGAAAGCAAGAGCAACACAGGAATGTTCAGACAGGCACCAGCTACCAGCCTGGTACTACTGTTTCCTCCCCCACCCGCAAAGCCCCGGGGCAGAGGCCCTGGGGCACAGCACAGCATTTGGGAGGGTTCTAGGAAGACTGGCTCAGGTGTGCAGAGCTGTGGGGCAGAGTGCCCCCCTCAACATGCTGCCCCAGTGATGCCAGCACTCCCACATCAGTGCAGGACAAGGATGGCCCAGACCTGCCATACTCCCAGACCCCATCCTAGTCTTCACACAGAAGAGGACTGCAGTGGTTGTCACACCAATTTTCCATTCCATGGCCCTGTTGAGCACCTACAGGCCATGCTGGACTACAGGGGCTCAAGGGCAACCCACAGCCCTGTGCCCCAGCACAGTCTCCATCCACATCACCAATGGCTCGTTTCCACTGGAGAGCCACAGCCCTGGGTGACCAGCTGTGAGCTCTTCTCTCTCACAGGGTAGGTGAGAGGAACGATGCTGTGACCTGACCATCACATGCTGCTCCGTCACCATCCCACCAGGGTCTGTGTCACTCCCCAGGAGCCTATCAACACCAGAAGCTGCAGCTGCCCCTCAGCACCCCCCTTTCCAAGGCTGTGGACATTCAAGATGTGCTTGCTGTCCTCAGTGTTTCTCCCAGGGTTAGTAATTTCCAGAGAAATTTGTATTCCAACACAGGCAGGAGATACCAAAGCACAGCCCTGTGAAACCCTGAAAAGCCCTTCCTTTCCAGGGAGGGATTACAAGGACAGCTTGCCCTGCTGTACCCCAAGTGCTCCTCTCCTGTGCCGTATCGCAGTCGGGAGTCACACCCAGCAGCCCAAGCACATGCAGAGGTGCTCACACCGAAACCCTGCCTTGCTCTGAGCGCACGAGTGGGAAACCCAGCTGCAGGCCAGAAGTACACTTGCTCTTTGCATGGCGCACAGCTTAAAGAGCAGGTGACCTGGCCCTAAGGAACAGATAAGTGCAGGCAGTGTGGCATTGTCTGCTTCAAACCAGATAAACAGAGGGAAGGGATGGCTCTACTATGGCTGAATAGAGATAGTGGCTGGGTGACATCAACCCCAAATACAGCCAGGAAAAGAGGAAATGGGAGACTTCTGAAATCTTTAAAAGCAGAAGAGAGATCACTGCACGTGTCCCGCTGCTCCCTTCCCCCAGAGTCACAGCCTGGTGGCAGGGGGTGATGGCAAGCTGGTGACATGCCCAGCAGCAATAACAGGCAGGGCAGGACCATGTGTCCCTTCCCTGCTTATGGCCAAGACTTGCAGGACGACTTATCCCACAGGAGGGCCTCGGCGCTGCAGAGCAGGGAGACCTGCCAGCCTCACAGCAGGGATGTCTTCAACACCCCTGTGTGTTAAACCCCTCCACACGTGACTTGGGGCTCAGCACCCTGTGCACTTCCAGAAGAGCTGCCCCCGAAATGGGAAGTGGTAACGCTCCTTCCAACCACAGAATTGGAGTGCCCCCTGTCCCCTGCAGGGACACACACAAATGAGGAACAGTGCCACCACGGCCAGGGAGCACAGGGGGGAGGCCACATCTCAGCCTCAACACCCGGCAACCTGCAGGGATGATTTCTACAGTGCTGGGCCCAGCTGGTCTGCCTTGTGTTTTGGCTTGGCTGCCAGAGCAGGAACTGAACCCAGCCAGCCTCAGCTGCCCCCACTCCCCAGGAGTGGTAAAGAAGAGCTACAACCAGCTCAGGGCAGATCCTCAGGGCACCTTCCATTTCTTCAAGAGCAAGTGAGCCTTGGATTTATATACAAAAGAAGCAGAGTGAAGGACACTTTCCTGTGACCAGCCCCGCAGCCAGAAGGACAGAAAAGAGACAGAGAAGCAGGACCAAAATACCAAAGCAGGGCTCAGGACAAGGAGAGAAAGAACAAAGAGTCACCACCACAACTCTGAGCAGAGTGAGATCGCTTCCTGCTCATGCCTTCCCCAAAAAGGGATTGCAACAGGGCAGGGGAAGTTATGAGGATCTCAGCTCAGCTCATCGAGACTTTCCATCAGTCTCGAGTTCACAGTGTATATGTGCACTGGTGGAAGCTGCTTGATTCAGAGAGCCCAGTAAGGCAGCCCTGGGCTCAGTACTAGCTTCACCAGGCCCTGGAAACACGAGGGAATGAGACACTCTCCCTTTCTGACTTGGTCTCTCCCCTCATCCAAACAACGAGGCAGGAGTCAAAGCTCCCCCAGCCTGTCTGGCTCATGGTCACTTCACTATGCACTGAAAGATGAAAAAAACAGCAGCTCCCAGCACAAAATCTTCCTGCTCCCCCTTACATATTAAATCCATCCTCAGTGCCATCAGCAGCAGAGCCTGGGCTGCCACACACCAGCTCTGCAATCATCCGGCCAAACTCGCACGTCTCCTTATGCCACGGCAGCTTGGCAAAGCGGGAGGGCGATCTCCTCCGTGCAGGAGGCGTCAAGCTGTCACAGGCAGCGAAACCAGGGCGCCTGCTTTTACCCGCCCTGACCCGCCAAACCCAAACGCGACCCTCAGCTGGCCGCAGCACCCTGCCGCTCCCGCACACCCCGAGAAGCGAACCGACCGCTGGAGCCGGGCCCTCCAAGGGCGCTGCCGAAACCGCACAGGGCGTGAGGTCCAAGCTGAGGAGCCCCCGGTGCCGCGGCAGCCCCCGGGCCAGCCCTCCCGAGCAGCTCCGCCACCGGAGGGAGGGAGGGCCGCCGGCGCTGCCACCCCCGCCGCCCTGCCCCACACCACCTCCCGCCCGGAGCCCCCGCGGCCGCAGACCCACCGCCCGGCCCCCCCGGCCCCCCGCTGACCGACGCCCAGCATCGTGGTCCAGAAGGCGAGGCCGAGCCCCGAGTACAGGAGCGCGAGCCCCGTCATGGCGGCGGCGGCGGCGGGGATGGAGCTGGAGCGGAACCGGCCAGGCGCGAGCGGCGCGTCACCTGACCAGCGCGGGACACGTGAGCGGAACGCGCGGCACCTGAGCGGAAATAGCGTCCTGCCAATCGCCTCCACACGCGCCCGCCTATTGGCTGCCCCTTCCTAGACCAGACACTACATAGACCAGAATGCATCGCGGCGGGCGGCCTCTTGCCATTGGCTGGCCTTCCCCTCTTCCGCGCCCCCGCCGTGAAGCGCGATAGGCCCCGCTCCGCTAGGGGCGGGAGTTCCGAACGCGGGGAGGGGCGGTGCCGAGTTCTCATTGGCCGGCTCCGTACTCCAGCCCGGAAGCCGGGCTCGGACCCCCGATCCCGCGGCGCCATGGCAACGGCCTTCAGCAGCGACGGGGCGGCCGCGCTGCGGCGGGAACTGGGCCCGGCGGCGGCCGCGGCCCCACGGGGGAACCTCGACGGCTTCTACGAGATGGGCCGGGCCGCCGCCTTCGTGCGGGGCGGCGGGTTCCGCAAGGTGAGCGGGGCCGGCGGCGGGACAGGGCCGGGGGGCCGCGGGCCTCCCCTCCTCGGGGCTTCACCCCATCTCCGCCCACCCCCCTCCCCAGGTCGCTCTCCAGTTCCCCGACGAGCTCCTGGCGGACGCGGCGGCGGTGGCGGCCCGGTTGGAGGCGTCGACGGAGGCCGAGATGTACATCCTAGGAGACACCACGTACGGCAGGTCGGTGTGGGGCCGTGGGGCGTGTCCTGTGGGCAGAAACGGGGCTGCTCATCCCCAGCATGGCGGGGCCGAGGGATGGAGCCGCTTGGGCTGGGGACAGCGGTGCCAGGGAGGAGGAAGAGCTCCGTGGTGCCGAGCCTGCCTGACGCCAAGACTTCCCCGCAGCTGCTGTGTGGACGAAGTGGCCGCCGAGCACGCCGCTGCCGAGGCGGTGCTGCACTACGGCCCGGCCTGCCTCAGCCCCTGCAGAAAGCTCCCGGTGCTGCACATCTTCGGGCAGCAGCCCCTGGACGTCGAGTGTTGCGCAGCGGCCTTCCGGGAGCTCTACCCCGATCGGCAGAGCCGTGTGGTAGTGCTGAATGATGTAGTCTATGCCCACGCGATGGGTGAGTGCTCCAGGGCAGGGAGCAGGGCTCTTGCAGTGCTCAGAGCCCTGCAGAGCTGCCAGGGGGAGAGGCAGAAGCAGCAGGCAGGTAGTCCCCAGCCTTGGCTTCTGTCCTCTCCTCTCTCCTAACCTGCTGTCCAGCCTCCTGCAGGACAGGCCTGTTGCCATGTTTCGTTCTCACTCTTCTCTCCCTTTAGGTGAGCTGGAGCAGCAGTTGTGCCCTGAATACCCCAATGTCGTCTTCTCCAGGGTGGTGTGTGAGGACCCTCCCGGCCCCGTGCCACCCGGGGAGGAGCGGCAGTTTGGCCGCCAGTTCCCTGTGGGGGCACCAGGAAGGCTGCAGGACTGCGCCATGTTCTACGTGGGAGCCGAGGGCCTGGCCCTCACCAGCTTCATGCTGACCTGGAACTGCTGCCCGTTCAGCTCCTTTGATCCTGTTACTGGCTGCGGCCGCCGCGAGACCTTCAATGTCAACCGGGCCCTGATGCGACGCCTCTACCTGGTGGAGCGGGCCCGGGATGCCCATGTGGTGGGCATCCTGGTGGGCACCCTTGGTGTGGCAGGCTACCTGGCCGTGCTGCAGCACCTCCGAGAGCTTCTGCGCCGGGCCGGCAAGCGCAGCTACACACTGGCCGTAGGGAAGCCAAACCCTGCCAAGCTGGCCAACTTCCTCGAGGTGGACATCTTCGTCCTGGTGGCCTGTGCTCAGAACTCCCTGTTGGACTCCAGTGACTTCTACCAGCCTGTTGTGACCCCCTATGAGCTGGAGCTGGCCTGTAACCCAGCCCGTGAATGGACAGGGAACTACCTCACTGACTTCCGAGACCTGCTGCCAGGTAATAACTAGGAACCAGCTGCCCAACACCCTCCTGGGGTGCGTCCTGCCCTGCTCCCCTGCCCGGAGGCTGCAGTTGCCCCAGCTCTGCGCTGGCTGGATAGATGTGAGGACCAGACTAACATTACCGTTTCCTGACAGGTGCCTGTGCGCACGTTGAGCTCCCACCGGCTGTCCCTGCAGCAGAGGCTGTTCCCGACATCTCGCTGATCACGGGGGAGATGCGTGCCACTCACCTCTGCGACCCCCCGGCCCCCCAGCTGTCCCCCAGCACCGCCCTGGCCTGCAAGGACCAGACGCAAGCCCTCGCGGAGATCAGCCCCGCTGGTTCGTGATTCGGTTTCGTGGTGAGGCTGAGCCCCAGTGCAGGGGCAGTGCTGCCTCCCTGCTCCCAGTAACGGTTTCCTTTCTCTCTCCTCCCAGCCTCCTTCCTGGAGTCCCGCAGCTGGCGGGGTCTGGAGCAGCAGCTGGGGCAGACCCCCATCTCCAAGGCTGTGCAGGGCCGACGAGGGATTGCCATTGCTTACGAGGATGAGGGGCGCGAGAAACCTTGATTCAGCAGGAGCAGGGGGTGTGCAGGGGCCGGGTGATGCCTGCCATGGGGTGTCAGATGCAGATGGGTCTCACAAGGGTCTGGACTGGCCCTGTGCTGGATGTGACCATGGGACGGGAGTGCTGTGGTGGGAGATCAGGAGTTGCATGTGTGTTCAGGGATGCCTGTGGCATCCCAGGGCTTGTGTCTGGGCAGTGGCAGGGCTGGGAGAGGCGCTTGGCCCAGACCCAACCTCTGAGGGCTCCCCAGTCCAGGGCAGCTTTGGCCCTACACGGAAAGGTCACAGCTTCACACGAGCTGATAGCACCAGGACTTGAGGCTTTTGTGGGCTACTGCTGCTAACTAAAGCTGGACTGAAAAAGACTTGTGAGTGAATCCTCTTTTAGAATAAAAAACATGGGCTGAAGGAGTGCAGACAGGGTGTCCCAGAGTGAAAACAGATATCCTGGTGCCCACTTGGTGAGTGCAGCTCTGTGTGTCAGCTAAAACTAGTCCAAGAGAAAGAAAATCAGGACTGGGACCCCCATAAATGGAAGCGTGTTTGCAGGTGGGGCTGGGGACCTAAGGCAAAGAGGAGAAGGCTTTGAGCGTGAGCCACCTGCTCTGATGAACAGGAGTGGGGCGCACCTATGCTGTGCTGCGGGGAGGACCCCGCGCATTCAGCAGGGATGGTCTGGCCCCTCCTGTGGGGCAGGACTGTTTCTGCTCCAGAGCTGCTTCATGCTGGACAGGAGAGCATGTGGGGGGGTGGCTGGTTTTTGCCATCCCTTCCGACAGCGGAGCCAGGAGGCTTTGAGGCATCCCAACCTTGATGGAAGCCTCTCCCCTGGGCTCTTTCCCAGAGGCAAGGGGCAGGCAAAGTCTGGGCACCGCAATAATGACAGCCACAACGTAGAAATATTCTTAATATAATTAGGTGCAGGGCCTCCCCCCTCCCAACCACACACGTACAAACGAGCAGGGGGTGAGCCCCCCCTGCCCAGCCAGCCACTGCTGCGGGCACAGGGGCAGCCTCCCCGCCGTGGGGCACGGGCACCCACGGGGAAGTGCCAGGGAAGGGCTGGTAGCCTGGGCACCGGGCAGTCCGTGCTGGGGCAGTCCTGCCCAGGCTTCGCCCCCCTCCCCTGCTCCCGCCACCGCCTCCTGCAGCCGGCACTCCCGTCCCCTGTGAGGGGGGAGCATGCTGGGGGAAACAAAGATGCTGACACCGAGATGCGGCCACCAAATCTAGCTGAGGAGCGTCCTGAGTGGGTTAATTCTAGGTGGAGGGTTATTCTACGAGCCAACTGCAGCAGGGCGGGGAGGATGGGGGGGCTTCCTTGCAGGGAAGAGCTGGTCCGGGCAAATTGTCCGCGGTCCTGGCCAGGTGCTCAGTAGTCTGCTGTGTACTCCGTGCCATGCAGCCCTCGGCACAGCAGTGTGAACTCCTTCACCATCTCCTTCACTCGCCGCTTGTTCACACGCTCTCTGCTAAGACAGAAGGAGGGGACAAACATGAAGCTGGAGGGACACACCAGGCCATGCAGCTGGGGAGGGGGGGGGTGTCATTCCCACCGCACGTAGGGCGCAGCCACCACTGGGAGGGGTGCACAAACCTGAGGATCTGCTGGCTGAAGGTCTCCTTCTGCTCGGGGCTGACGCGGGCTGACGGGAAGCCGTCCTGCTGCATGGCCTCCTTGATCCAGACGCTCAGGTAGCTGAAACAGTGCTTGTTCAAGGCAAAGAGGATTTCTGCAAAGTGGTCCATGAGGCTGCGGGAAGCCTGGCCACCGACGCCCTGCCACAGAGGAGACAGACCCTGCTGAGCCTCTGGCATCTCCCCGCCGGCACCCACCCACCCACCCACCCTACCAAGCGCTCTGCCCCCAGCTCCGCAGGGGTGCTGCTCAGGAACAGAGCCCAAAGCTGCCCAGGGAGCCCACGGTCCCAGCGTCTCTCACCTCCAGCACTGCCTGCAGCAGCACTTTGCCGTTCTCATGCACGACCTGTCCCACTGGAGCGATCTCTCCGCAGCGGGGCAGCAGCTCCGTCTGGAACACAGAGCCCAGCCCGCTGTGTCAGAGCAGGCTCCACACCGCAGCGCCCTTGCCCAACCTGCATCCCAGCTCCTGCCCTCCCAGCTCTCAGGGGGCTGCACGACGACATGATACTCACAAAAAAGCCACAGGATGCTTTGACCGTTGGGGCCTCGGGGAACTTGAGCGAAAGGACACCTGTGGGCAGAAATCACTCAGGTTAGCAGCCAGAAACACCGCACACCATCCCAAATCAGCCCCTGTGGTCCCCAGCTCCTGGCTGGTCTGTGCCCTGGAGAGCAGGCTAGCTTCTCCACAAAGCAATTTGGAGCATGTGGCAATGCCCGTGGTACTCACCGCACTGAAACACTGCTTTGACATCCAGGTTGCTACACAGGAAGAGGTCCGGCTTCCTTTTCAGAGCCTGCAAGGCACACAGACAGGCAGCATAAACCCAGCGCTGCAGAGGCAGCCAGGAAACCTCCGAGGAACCCGGTGCCCCAGACAGCCTCTGCCTGGACACACACTTACCTGGGCACACCCACTGTAAACGGCAGATTCACACAGTACAGCAGGAAACCATCGCTTTTCCCCCCCCACCAAGAAAATATCAATCAAACAGCGAGGCAGTTCGCTACACTCAGGGACTGCCAACCCCAGGACCCGAGGCTCGATGCCACACACAAACGCTTCGGACACAGAGACGGGACAGAGGGCTCCGGCCCCACCAGAGCAGGGCAGGCAGCGGCAGCGCTCCTGGGACAAGGGCAGCCGTACGGGGCCCAGCAGAGACCAGCCACCTCTGTGCTTTGCTCCGTTCCTCTTGAAGATGCTGGCATCCCTGGAGTCACAGCAACTGGTTCAAGCAGCAACCCCAGACTGGACCAGTAGCTCGCTCTGCTTGGGATCCAGGGCACAGACGACAATGAGATGCCAACATTGCCTGGCAGTTCCTGAGCAGCAAGTCTGCCATGTGGTGATCCCACCAGCTTCTGTGGGGGTCAGACACTGCTGTTAGGGACACCCTGAGCTGTGGCACCTCGTGTAGTGACTTGGTCCCCCCTGTGCTGGCACGGGGCAGCCACTGGATGGAAATGTTTCAGCCTGTACCTTCCACTCCATTGGAAGTGTTTCCGCCCTGCCACAGCGAGCCCTGCTATGTAAGGTGGCTACATCCATGCCCTGGCCACCATGCCACCATGCCCACAGCTGTGGGCTAGCACTGGGAATGGAAGCTATGCCTCCTGCCCTGCTATCACTGCAACACTGGGGACAACAGCCACAGCACTGGAGTGGCCCCGCTCTATGCCTGGAGGTCAGAAAGCAGGATACCAGGGCAGGCAGCCCTCGGGCTGAGCTGTGTGCAGGGTCACTGCCACCCTCCCAGCCTGCTCCCAGGGATGAAAGCAGGGACAGCTTTCAGCCAGGAGCGCCCAGGACACACGGCCATCTGCCCACAGCCACGGTCTCTACTTGGAGCAAAATGGGCTTATTTCCCACCCCTTTTTCTCAAGGGAAAGCCCACAGCCATCTGTCTAGTGCAGAGAACATATGCTGGAGACCAAGAAGCTGAGGAGAAGGCTTCAGGGTTACCCCATCTCCTTTCTGACCCTCTGTATCACACGCTGCAAGAGACGACTCAGATTTGGGCAGTGAAGGCATCACTCTACCAGGCGGAGATGGCACGATCGCACGGACCTGCTTCCCTGCTAGATACAAGTGGAGACCTCAGGGGCCGCGTTATACCTGCGTGTGTGTTTACAGTGCGCACCAGCCCTCCTGATGCACTAGCACCAACTTCAGAAGGCTAGCTAGTGGCTGGGCAATGGTTTAGAAACACATCCACTCATCACAGCTGCTGCTGTCTAGTCGGCCCCATACTGGACAAACACTTGCAAAAAGCATTGTAGTTTTAGTCATGGGAGACTACCCCCCCGTTGGGGCCCTGGTGCAGGCTCCAGAGTGGTGACCACGAGCCTCTCTCCCAGCAGCATGCTGCTCGAGGGCAGCTGGCTCCTGTGATACCACCCAGCTTCAGGCTTCTCTACCCTGCCCGTCCAAGGGGCTGGTTTGAAAAGTCCTGCATGCTGCAAGACTGTTCACGTGGCACAAGTCTTTCAACATGCTCAGATTGCCACCTACCTGCTAGGCAGAAGCTTCCCCCCACAGCTCTCCTGCAGACTCACTGCAGCATCTGCTCCTCAATCCATCAGTGCCATGGGGGAAAGTGTGCCAATATGGGGAGGGCTCCTTCCTGCAGGACACCTCCACCAAGGGAAGCAGAGCCCAGTCTGGGCACACATGCACGTGCCTAATGTAGACAGAGATGCTTTTTACCCTCACGAGATGGGGCCCTGTGGAGCTTCTCCCATTAGCAAGCAGCACCAGGTAGGTCCAACTGCTCTTTCCCAGCACCAGGAACCCTGCTCCAGCTCTGGGGCCTCTTAGTGCCAGCCCATCCTCCCCATCTCCTGCCGGAGCAGCTCTGCTCAAAAGTTCTGGGATGGGGACAGATCTTTAATGCTTTCAAACGTTTCCCCACATCCTCTGCTGCAGCAGCCACTGCAGAGGTAGGCATTGTCTCACCAGTGAGGGCTGTTCTGCAGGCTGATGCAGAAAGGACATTGGGTTTTTCTCCACAGCAGCCGAGAGACCCCCTTGACAGGCCTTCGGAGCAGGTTCTTCTGTGCCTGGCTCTTCAGAGGCAGGCAGGCATGGAAGGGACACTGAACCCCACTCCTCCAGCAGACAGAAGACAGTGCAGGGCTGCACAGCCAGTTCCTGCAGCACTCCAGAACACACAGATCAAGCCCCTGTGTTCAGCACCACCACCTCTTCCCAGATCACATGCCTGGCAGAGCAGAACCTCCAGCTTTGGAAAGGGCACGTGAGCTTGGCCAGGCACCAGGGCCAGGGAGGAGTACTCAGCCCCTGCTCTCCGGGGAAAGGGGTTGCCAAGCCCATGTCCTCCATGGGACTCTATGGCTGGAGCAGGTGTGATGGAGAGCTCAAGGACTGCTGCATGAAGCCTGGACCAGCCCAAGAAGGGAGGGAGGTGGGGGACGGTGCTGGCTGTGCCATCACAAGTCAGTCCTGCATCTTCTGCCCAGCAAGGCCCCGCTCGCCCAATCTGCCCCAGGGCTCCCGGTCAGGGAAGGTCACCGCAGAGCTCCCAAGGTCCATGCCAGCGTGGAGCCCTGCTGGGGGGTGGCTGGATGTGCCTGCAGCCTTGGTGGGGAGGCAGGCTGGAGAGCCCAGAAGTCCTGCCTGCAACTGGGAGCATGCACACGAGTGATACCTGCTGGCCAGGGAATGGGTGAAAGCTCCCGAACACCAGAACCTGCCTGG